ACTTTTAATCCAGGTTACAATAATCCACACTTTTAATCCAGGTTACACTCTTTCCTCAATGACACATTTTACAAAGTAGCTACATATTGTGCAGGTATAAAGACACATTTGTATATATTTTTGTGTACATTTATTTTTTTAAGCTATTTGACAAACTTTTATTTTTTATTAATCAATATTTTACTAACACAATAGTCAAATAGCAACCTGTTTTTGTGTGAATTGCTATGTCAGTCAAATGTTCAATTTTGGAATAAAGGGGTGGAAATTAAAACTTTTTTTTTTTTTTTGCCGATTCATCGATTAATCGAAAAAATAATCGGCCGATGAATCGATTATTGAAATAATCATTAGTTGCAGCCCTAACGTCAACACTTCAGCCAAACAGTTGTAGCAGCACTTTATGAAAAAGCTAAAACTGATATTGTCAACAAGCCCTGGACCAGATTAAAGCCCTGCCCTGATGAGGATGACCAAGAGATTAAACCACCTCATAACAACCGTTCAAGAAGAGGTATTGTTCTTTTATTATTGTGGGCGGCTGTGGGTGAGTGGTTAGAGCAGTCGTCCTCCAATGCAAGAGTTGGGGGTTCGACTCCACCAGCAGTCACATGCCGAAGTGTCCATGGGCAAGACACTGAACCCCTCATAGCCTCTGATGTGTGTCCCATCAGTGTATGAATGTGATAAAGCTCTGATTAGTCTCTTTAGAATGATTTGTTTAATTAGCTTTGTAGAGATCTAGTATAGAGCTGTATGAATGGGTAAATGAGGCACAGATTGTTGTAAAGAGTTTTGAGTATCTTGAAATAAGATAGAAAAGCGCTATATAAGTACAGTCCATTTACCATTTATTATTATCTAATTAACTTTTTTAAATTTAAAATTATAATCTTATTAACTCATTTTTTTTACCTCTTGGTGTTTTATTTCCAGTCTGGGACAGAGATAGCAGCTGAGTCTTCCTTTTTTCATTATTGTTAGTATAGTTTATTTATTGTAAAGAGTGCCATTTATTTAAAATGTCATCCAAATGGGTCGCTTTTATTTATTTTTATATAAATGTATTGTTTCTTGGCATATTTTCAAAATAATAATTTTGTAAGTCTTCATTTTGGCCTTTTCTGTAGCGAAAATGAACCGAACCGAGCCCTCCTTGGAATCGAACCAAAATGTGATTTGAGCATACTGTTACACTCCTAACTGATAAGAAAACAAACAGCTGTGTAACGTTAAAGGAATACAAACTCAACAGAAAATTGTTTGCATTGAAAAAGTCATTTCTGTAGAGCATCATTAAAGACCTCAACCTGTTCCCATAAACACTTGTTCACATTTAATCAGTTTTCTACAGTTTGTGACACATTTCAAGGCTTTTTTTTTCCATTCTTCCATCCAATTGTCCCTGTATAACCTAACAATGTTCATAAAATTGCCAAATAGAAATGCTGAAAAAGTACTACATGCTAAACTCAGACATGTGAAGACAACACAAACAAGAAAGGTAAAGGACTCACGAGGGAACGTATCTGATGATGAGCTGCAGCGCTCCGTGACACTGGTCAAAGTTTTTCACAAGGTCTTTAAAAAGAAACAAAGAACAGAGTTAGTTTGTTTCTGACCAACTTGTTTTTTCCTTATGTCTATTTCACAAAAGTTCTTAACAGTTATACTTGACATATTTTAAATTCACATACAGGTAATCCAAACATTTCTGTTGCTACACTATTTAATCATATAAACATCTTTTTTTATTCCAGTTTTCATTCATTCAACCTTTATTTACACAGATAAATCACAATAAGCCTCCAAGACTCATTTACAAGTGAGACCCGTTTGGACAGACAAAAAGTAATGAAAGTGACATATGTATAGGATTTGGAGGCAAAAGAAAATTCCTATCAAACTCTCACTCCCTGGCCAAGCAGAGAAAGCCTGAGATTGAAAAAAACACCCAGAACATAGGCACATAGTGACACAAACATTACGCAGGGGAGGGGAGATGACAAGGGCAGTGAGCGTGTCCAAGGACACTCCAGAGGCACTGTAGGAGTTCTGACAATCAGTCAGTTCTCTCTGGTGAGATCCATAAACACACTTGAGGGTGCCGAGAGAGACTCCAGAGAGACTCCAAGAGTCCTGAAATGATGACACGTCTATTCAGCCGGGTCCCTCTGATAGGTCCGCAAACTTCCTCAGTGGGAGGGGAGGGGGCAGAGTGTTGAGTTACAGGGCCTCCACGTGAACTGAGATAAGGTGGTCAGTCACGGCTAGCCGGGGAGCCGAATTCAGATAAAAACCGTTGGTTTTGGGGACAGGCAGAACTTGATTGATTCATTAATCCTTGAGTCTTTGCTGGTCCTCACGAATCCCAAATGACCAAATTAAGTGGACACACCACTGGTCCATGCCTGAGCGTATTACCTGAGATCTGATCCATCCTGCCAGCGAATCCTAGGGGCTGCATGTGGCCTGCGATTCTCACAAATCACATCCAATTTGCGGTTCAATTCGTAAAGCAATTGAGTCTGGGTGCTCAAGGCACGGAGCAAGCAATCACATAAGGCAGGCAGCCTGACCAGGGCCAAATTTGTTGCAGACGACTTTCTTGTATGTTGATAAACCAGGAACCAGTCAATTCCAAAAAGCAGGAAACCATCCATCCATCCATTATCTTTACCCGCTTATTCCATTTTGGGTCACGGGGGTCGCTGGTGCCCATGTCCAGCAATCGCTGTGCGAGGGGCGGGGTACACCCTGGACGGGTCGCAAGACCATCACAGGGCCACATAGAGACAAACAACCATTCACTCTCATTCTCACCTAGGGACAATTTAGAGTTACCAATCAGCCTAACGTGCATGTTTTTGGTCTGTGGGAGGAAACCGGAGCACCCGGAGAAAACCCACGCATGCACGGAGAGAACATGCAAACTCCACCCAGAAAGGACCCTGGACCGGGGTTTGAACCAAGGACCTGCTCGCTGAGAGGCAGCAGCTCTACCAGTTGCGCCACCGTGCTGCCCTAAAAGCAGGAAACCTGTTATCATAAATCCAAATATATATGCATCTTCAACATCCTCGATGGACAGCAGAGATAGACACATCACCTTCCAAACGCCCCAGGAATCAATGACAAATCCAGCTGCGTGCGTGTCATCAGGGCAAGTTGGCTCGCCTGAAGCTTGTCTTCTCGTTGATAAAATTTTATCAATGGTGTTGAGAGACCAGCTGACCAGATCCATAGCAAAAATTACGGTTCAGAAGATATGTAGAGAGAGGATCTGAAGCAGTTTCACAGACAGGACAGAGCAAAGCAAAGTGGAGGAGGGGAAAAAGTGTCTGCCCTTGACAAGAGCAAGTGGTGAAGTGATTCCAGGGCACAACAAAAAGATAGAAAAAGCATGGCTCTGAAAGAAACAGGGCATCGGATCAGGCGATACATTAAGATTTTTAAAAATATTGATAATACAATTTATATTGATATAGCCTCTGTTGCGTAAAACATTATACTTTTAGATCCGTCAGTTTGTGTTTCTTTTCTCCCCATTTGTCTGTCACTGCCACATGAAGAAAGAAGGCTCCAGTATACTCGCGCAAACGTTTTTCCGCACAGACTCGACGTGCACTGTCCTTAGAGGGTTGAGACTTCATACTCGAGTGTCCACTCTGACCAGCTGCAGTCAGCTCCGCAGACAAGGGGAGCTTCCCTTCGGACAAATTGAAGTTGTCGATTGGTCATTTGCTGACACGACTACTGGATTGACTGACAGGTCGGAAAAAAAAACTATAGCTGTCAGCCACAACAGCCGCAGCGGTGTTCTGTGTTTATATGTTGTTAATAAAAGTCCTTTAAAAAAATTAAAAACCAGGGAGCGCTGGCCCTGCAGCCCACACATCAGACCAGCCCACCAGCAAATCTCCAGACCCTCCTGCAGCCACGCTGGACCCGATTTTAATTCGATCATGACAAATTCCTTCATTTCTCACCATTTCAGTCATGGCGTCAACGTACGAGGAGGAAGAGATCACTTGCCTTTTGGCAAAAGAAACAAAAGAAAAGGCCATTAAACCAGATCAGGGATGAAGAAGGGAAATTTAATACATTGGTGTTGCATACAAAACAGTCCGGCACCGGGCAGTTTATTGTGCGACACCGCATACGCGGATGCGGTCGTAAAAATTGAGCTTTGCACGGACATGCCCTGGGGGGTATGCTCGTACCTCTGCGTACGTATGTGCGTACCTCTACATATGGATGTACGCGGCAGTATACTGGGGGCTTTAGTCCTCATCCTGTCAGCTTGATCCATTTCCTACAGTTCTTGTTAAATCCTGTCTCCCGTCTCTGCTCCCCATCATCACTAACATCATCCACTCCTCCCTAACCTCTGGCATTTTTTCCCACAGCTTTCAAATCTGCTTCCATCAGCCCCATCATCAAGAAACCAGGTCTTGACTTTACCAACTTCAGTAATCTTTGTCCAATCTCTAATCTGCCCTTTATTTCCAAGGTTCTTGAAAAAGCCGTTGCTAGTCAACTTCACTCTCACCTATCCAACAATAACATTTATGAAGAGTTTCAATCTGGTTTTCGCCCCCACCATAGCACCGAAACAGCTCTAATAAAAATAACTAATGACCTTCTTTTTGCTGCTGACTCTGCTCTTCTGTCTATCCTCATTCTACTGGATCTAAGTTCTGCCTTCGACACAATCTGTCATTCTATCCTCTTCAACAGACTAACCTCCATTGGCATCTCAGGTACTCCGTTAGACTGGTTCAAATCTTATCTCTCTGACCACACTCAATTCATTCAGCTTAAATCCTTTCGTTCCCAGTCTTCCCCCGTCTCCATGGGTGTCCCCCCAAGGCTCTGTCCTCAGATCCCTCCTCTTCATCATTTACCTCTTTCCTCTAGGTCACATCTTCCGCAAATTTGGTGTCCATTTTCACTGTTATGCTGATGACACACAGCTCTACTTGTCAACAAAACCAAACTCCACCCACCCTCCATCCTGACCGACTGTCTCAACGAGCTAAACCATTGGTTTTCTAACAATTTCCTACAACTAAACAGTGACAAAACAGAAATCATTCTTGTCTGTACCAAAAACTCTATGTCAAAATCAGAACATCTTCTCATCCCCCTTAACAAATCTCTGCTATCCCCCTCGCCTCAGGTCAAGAGTCTTTGTGTCATCCTCGACACCACTCTCTCCTTCACTTCACATATCAACAATGTTACTCGGTCTGCCTATTTCCATCTCCAAAATATTAACTGTCTCCGCCCTTCTCTCACACCCCACTCCACAGCCATCCTTGAGCACAGTCTTGTGGCTTCTCGGATTGACTACTGCAACTCCCTTCTTTATGGCCTCCCCAACAAATCTCTCCAGAAGCTACAATTGCTCCAGAACTCAGCTGCCTGTGTCATAACTCAAACCTCCTCCTATAACCACATCACTCCTGTCCTGCAGCAGCTCCACTGGCTCCCGGTTAAATCACGCATTGTCTTCAAAATTCTTCTTCTCACTTTCAAAGCTATCCACAACCTTGCCCCTCCTTACCTATCTGACCTCTTACACATCTTCAGATCCTCCTCTTCACTACACCTCCATGTACCCTCTGCCTGCCTCTCCACCATGGGGAGCAGGGCCTTCAACTGCTCTGCCCCTCATCTCTGGAACTCTCTAATCCCTGACTTACGAAACACCACTTCTCTTTCTCTATTCAAGACTACTCTGAAAACACATCTCTTTAGCACAAAGTTTGTTTTCTCAGTCATCCAGGTATATAACAACAAAAAAGGTTGAATCATGTCATCTGGACTTCGTTTTTTT